GTGATAATGCCTCATGTTAAAAAGTTTTCTATTCCTGAAAAGCATGGTATCAGCAAAATGTGATATAGGAAAAATATTGTTATTAATAATTTTAATTTTCTGATCTGACACGATTGTAAAAAAACCCCTAGCTTTGAGCTGACATTTAAGAACAAAACTCTACATGGCAACAATGTTATCTGACGAATGTTACGACTTTTCTTTCAATTAAAGTTTTACAGCTTTGTTTACCAAGTTTTAGATATGCATGCAGTTTATTTTCTTCCTTTTCTGCATTGCAACGAAAATTGTTCTAATAACTCTAAACTTCTCACTGCATTAAAACTTAATTTCCAGCAATTTTTATATACATGGTATGATCAATCCAGTGTTTTCCTCATCAAAAAAACCCACTAAACCTGGTACATTAAAGAGAAAAGATGCACTTAAGTAATTTGCACCTATTATCTCTGCAATATTCTGACACAATTTAGCACACTATGCAGAAATGATACAGATGCTCTGTACACTGGAATAAAGAGATTCATACTGCAATACTTGCAACACCATACAAAGTTAATGTCAATATGCAATCTCCTGAAGCTTTCCTTCTTATTATATGATCTCCATGGCATGCTTTCATTTTAAATCTAATTTTTGGACTAGCACACAGCATGTACCTACATGCATTCAGATAATAGGATATATAATAGGATCAGACTTTAAGAAATGCCACTGCTTGAAAGCACAGAGCCTTTTAATTTAAATTTTATGGCCTCTGAGTTTAGTAAATGGGAAATATTTTTGTGTATTATAAGCTTTTTTTCTTTTAATACAGTCCTTATCACACATTTCCTTATCCAAAGATCACCTACATATAGAAAACAATTGAACAATTAAGTATATGGTGAAATATAAATTCTGCATGGAAACTGTTTTCATTAAAGCAATATTTCTTTGTTTCTGTGCGTAAACTGAATTCCATAAACTGAAGAACTCTTAAAATCTGTTCCTAGGAAATGCGTAGGATAATGTTTATTTTCAAAAAGCATACATTAAATAACTCACATTAGCTAAGGAAATGAATTTTCAGATGCAACTCCATGATGTTACACAATAACCAAAGACCAGATTCTCCTTGGAGGTTTATTTCCGAAATGCACAAACATCACACCCCCAGCTGAAGAATGCACCTTCTTCAAGAGGCATTCTTCAAGAGGTTGTTCCACAGCACATTTTCTCCAGTTGCAAACCTGACCACATCCTGAAGGACAACCACAATGCAGCTGTAGATCTTCTACCCAACACTTCAAGCTTCCCTTACAATGCACAGGAAATTTTATTTTACAGCCCATGGTTTACAATTGGAATGGAAAAGCCACGTGATAGGTGTTATAATTTGGGAAGAAAAGTATAAGAAAAACCACTGAGTTCAGTCAACTTCAGACTGCTAAGGAAGCAGAGACTCTTAAGTTTGAAAGTGATTCACCTTGGAACAGCTTTTGCTGGGTGTTACATTATACTTCCCATTAGTCTTTAGAGTAAACAAATAGAAAGATAAAAAAATCAACTCTAAATTTGTGTTTTCTATGGTCAACTGTCTATACTAGTCTGTGAGGACATAAAAACTCATTTGTAGTGTGTATTATTAAGTCCAACAGCTGTTCCTGAACCATCAGTCCTCAAAACCAACTCAGAAAATTGCTGCTGTCTATTCTTACTTCATTAGTGATAGGCTGGAAGAAGGGGAGGCTGCAGAGTTCAGCTATCTTAAAGATGCACAAAGCTGCTCTAGGTTAACAGTTAAAAGCAAAGTTTGTTGTATTCTCTGTTCATGGCAATAGTAGTTTTAAAGAAAAATAATAATAAACTGATTTTTTTCAGTCCTAGAAAAATCACTACATTTCCATCAGGATATATACATATTAAAAGCAAAAAAGCAAAAGTAATCCTCAAAGGAAAATAATAATTTAAAAAATTACATAGAGCTGCAGGTTTTGGTCTTTTTATAAATCATCAGCTTCCTCTTATGCCTCCTACTCTATCTCTTAGGTATATATTCCACTTGGGATTGTAGTTTTCTTGGTTTCTCAAAAATAATAAAATACCAGTTCCCAGGTACACATGATCTCTGACCAAAGGCCACAGCAGAATGATGCTGAGGTTTCTTTAAAAAACAGGTGTCAAGACAGGAAGAACCATTCTCTTCCCCTTCATTGCTTCTGGCATCTCTCCTCCTTACAGGTGTAACCTCTGTCAGAAAAACAGGAGGGCAGGGGATGCCTCTAAGAGCCCAAAGGCTCATTGTTCTTGCACACACTTTAACCTTCACTGGGTCCTACTTCACAACCACATCTCACTTGGGGACACAGAACAGATCCCATTTCAAGGCCCAGCAATATGACTCCTGATCATGCCAATGGAAGTGCTTGCTAAGGGCATAAGGAATTTCTTCTACAGAGATGAAGAAGTTACAGGTGGAAAAAAAAAAAAAAACCAAAAAAACCCAAACCAAACAAAAAAACCAACACAAAAACCTCCAAAACAAACAAAATTAAACAAACAAAACCACAAAATACCCCAAAAAACAAACAAAAACCACCCAAAAAACTCCCAAAAAACCCCAAAAATACACAAACAGAAAAACCCCCACAAAACAAAACAATCCAATTTTAGGCAAAATGTCAAATCTCAAAAGGCTGGAAAGGTCCAGCACTGCTTCTGAATCAAAGATAAATGATGCTTGTGTTCCCCCTGCTGGCTCTGTCCTCCAAACACAGCTCAGTAGCAATGCCTGCATGGATGAAAGTAATAACACATACAGGGTTTCATCTGTTTCAAACATTTAACTTTGCCTTCACACTGTATTTAGACATGATCAGAGGGAGAAAGCTCTTCTGAGACCTGAAGGACAAAAGCTGGGAGTTCCTTTGATCTAAACAAAAATAAATTTCTAAAACACCCATCCTAAACAAAGTGCCTTTAAAGGCACATATAAGATGATGAAGAGACCTATGCCTAAATGAAGTAAATAAGAAAATAAAACTTGTGAAACACCATCTGCATACAGGTCTGGTATCCCCAGCGCAAAGAAGAATGTAGAACTGCTGGAGCAAGTCCAAAGGAGGCCACAAAATTGGTAAAAGGACTGGAGCACTTCCCCTATGAAAACAGGCTGAGGAAGGTGAGGCTGTTCAGCCTGGAGAAGAGAAGGTTGAGTGGAAACCTCACAGCAACCATGCATTATCTGAAGGGGGCCTGCTGGAGCTCCTTCACAGGAACTGTAGTGATAGGATATGGAGTAATGGGTACAAACTGAAAAAAGGGAAATTTAAGGCTGAATATTAGGAAGAAATTCTTTACTGTGAGGGTGGTAAGACACAGAAACAGCTTGCTCAAGGAAGTTGTGGATGCCCCAGCAATGGCAGTGTCCAAGGCCAGGCAGGATAAGGCTTTGAGCCACCTGGTCTAGTGGGAGGCATCTCTGCCCATGGCAGAGGGGGTTTGGAGTAGATGATCTTAAGGTCCCTTCCAATCCTTAATATTCTGTCATTCAATATATTTAAATCCAGGAAGAGAACCACCAGGCACAGTAACCTGATCACAAATCTCACAGACAGCACCACTGCTGGCTGCAGCCAGATATCCATCTCAGGTGTTTGGGAAGACTTGGATGAATGGATAGAGCAAGCTCCCTCATGGTACCCTGCTGTTGCTTCCCAAGCCCCTCGTGTCCCTCACTCAGTAGGTGCCAGCTGCCTGGAGTCCAGCTGGCAGTGCCCTGGACCCAGCCTCAGCACTGAGCCCATCTCTGTCACTTGGGTTCTGTGAGGACCACATCCCTCCCCGGGGAATTTATCAGCACCAGAATCTTTGAAGTGCTTAGAGAAAGATGAGGGTTTCTGCAGCAATAAAGGGTGGCTAGCTGTAACAATGTCAGGTTTTTAGACAAACCCTTAGAGATTACTATTAGTTTGGCCATACTAATTGGCTTTAATTATCTTTAGTTAAAAAAGAAAAAAAAACCCAACAAAAACCAACCCCATAAAAACATAACAAAAACTCAATTCGCCACCAAAATCCAAAACCAGACCACCATTAAGAGCAAAACTGCATGTTAACAATCTCTAAACTTTTCATTCTTTCCATCAATATACAACAAAAGGAGCAACAACACTTGAGCATAACTCTTTCTAAATTACATTGTGTACTTCAGGCTGAAGAAAACAAGAAATCTGAACATACTGCTAGATTATCTCTGCTGAGGTAACATCCTAATCTAACCCTAAAATGCCTTTCAGAGAAATTTATATATTGTAAACTGGGATTTTTTTGTCAAGCCAAGTCAAACTTACTACACAGGTAAACATGAACACGTAGATTTTAAATAATGCCTTCCCTCACAAACTGTACTTCCCCATTAGGGGAAGAGCTGGAAACAACGACTGTGAATTGCAATGTTAGAAAGCGTTGCCTATATCTAAAAACTATGTGCTTGACATAAAAATATTTCAAGTATGATGCATCAACCACACACACTATTGATTCATTGACTATTGTTAGCTGATTTTTATTAGCTAAAAAATAAGCAGTAATATCAAACTGAATTCTGTTTTTAATCTCATAAGGAGACTGAATACTCATTCACCCTTGCACGACACAAAAGTCATTCTTATTTTGCTGAATGCATAAATGCAGCCTCTTTGTAATCCCTTTCAGATCAAAACACCTTCACATTTCCCCCACTATACAGTTTCTCTATAACTACTAGAAAGGCTACTTGGTGAACTGTGAACATGTGAACTGTGCCCAGCTTCACATGAAAACGCTAGTCCCATGCGGACATGCACAATGAATCAGAGTAAACTGTAAGCACACAGCAGAAATGAAAGAAAACCCAATAACTAATATTGAGAAACAAGCAGCAACAGCCTCCAGTTTCATTAAAAAACTGCCTGTTATTCCTCAGGTACAACACAGGATGCCACATGATGGCAGCAAACACCAAGCTCTGGCCTTACCTGCACAGGCTGGTCACCTGCTACTCTAAAGTCTTCAAGCTGCTGCATGTGCCACGCAGGCACACCATAGGGCTCCTCAGCAGGCCTGCAGTCCAGGGGATTTGCCCGTAGCTGCTCCTTGAGCCACATCTGAGTCCTCACTGCCGGCTGTATGGGAGCCCCGCTCACAGCCTGCTGTCCCAGTGTCGCGTATCTCTGGCCAAAAGCTTCGCAGCCGCCTGCCGCAGGTTTGCTTTCAGGTAAGGCACTGTAGGTCAAGTCTAAGGCATGTCTCCTACTTGGGGAATCTGAAACAAAGTCGTCTTTGCTGCACGTTTCAAATTTGTATTTGCAGTCCAGTAGAGAAGATCGTTTTTTCCCCATTTCTTTGTCCTCAATTTTTAGCAGCTCCATGCTGTCATGCAAACAACTTGGCCCATTTGTCCTTAATTGAGGAGGCACAGCTTTGTCTGTACCAGCCCTGTATTCCACCGAATGACTACTTCCATCTTGGCTGAAATTATTTGGTGAGCTGAGTTTAGACAAGGAGGACCATTTTCTCACAGGTCTTGCATCTTTCATGTCAAGAGAATTGTCCAGGGCTCCCTGATTTCTGCCTCCTCCTGACCGTACAAAGCTTGTACTCCATTTTGAGCCATCAGACTTGAAAGCTTCCCTGTGTTTGGAAAGTGAAGAGCTGGCACTAGACAGCATCACATGGGCAGTGGGAATAGAAACCAGTGATCGGCTGGGCTTAAATGATGATGTACCACTTGAAGTTGAATGATCTGTGAAAAGAAATTTATCACATAAGTAAGTGCAACACAGAGCTCATTAACATTAGCTCAGATAGGACAAAATATCAAATTCAAGATGAAATGCAAAAATAGAAGGTAAGACGTTTCTTGACAAAATACGGCCTTCTAGATCATTCTAAACCATGAGAATAGAAACTAATTAAAGTGGGAGATTTTCAAGTTTATTTTGCTCAGGTGTCAAGAAAAGCGCACTAAGCATTGGCAACAGAAGCATCAGATAGAATTCTCAGCCTGTGAGCCAAAGAAACAACTGCCAGCTTTAAGGTGGCAGGATAGATTTCTCCCCCACCCCACACATAGTAAGGAGCTTCTATACCACAAACAATAGAGGTGTTCAGGAGCCCCAAGATTGGTTCTTCTTCCATCACCTCTATTCTCATTTTTTGAAGGCAGAACAATTCAATAAATGCACTTGGTAAAATGGCAGTGCTGTAGACAAGGCAGTTTAACAATGGTCACTTGGACAGAGTTATTCAGCCATTCTGGATCTCACCAATTTCCAAGTATGCTTCCTGTGCTGTGTTTGGCTGGGAAACAGTTAATTTTTTCCACAGTACCTGGTATGGGGCTATGTTTTGGATTTGTTCTGGAGACTGTGTTTGTGATTTAGGGATATTTTAGTGCCTGCTAAGCAGTCCTTACACATAGTCAAGGCCCTTCCTGCTTCTCACCCCACCAGCAAGCAGGCTGGTGGCGCACAAGGAGCTGGGAGGGGATGCAGCTGGAAGAGCTGACCCAGACTGACCAAATGGATATTCTGTATCCTGTGGCAACAATAGGTGGGCAGCAATAAAACTGGAGGCAAGTCTGGTTTGGGGGGCTGCTGCTCAGGCAACAGACAGCTGGTGGTCACCAGTTGTTTTCATTTGCACATTTCTTGGTTCTTATTTCTCATTACTTTTCTTACAATATTTTTCTTCAGGAAAAGAGTCTCAGGGAAAGGAGGGATGGAAATGCACAGAAGAAAGAAATGCATCTCCTCTTGTATAGGTAACTCCTTAGCTTGAGGTTGCTGGCTTTGTAACATTCAAGAAGACTAACCTTTGTACTGAACCTTACCCAGAAGCTGAATCTGACACAGCACAAAGTCAGTCCAGCAAAGGCAGCAGTCCCAGGCCTTTTTATATTCAAAGAAAATAAGAATGTATTAGGATTCAAAAAAGAACTGACCTGTGTTTTAGGCTATGCAGATTTCTAGGAGTAGAAATGTTACATATGCAAGGGACAGGTAAAAGAAATCCTGTATACATGTATCTGTAAAACTTAAAATAGTAAAAAATACATAATAGTATTTAATATAGCATTTTCCATCTAAAATACTGACTTAGTGTTAGCAATACATGGTTTTAAAACTGAAATTAAAACCAATAATAATTAGAAATACATTATCTCCTTCAGTTATTAGATTACAGACTTCTTAATATGTGGTAGATTTTTATTTTTCCTTCTTCTAAATTTAATTAAATTTAAAAATAATTAATTTTGAGTTAAGATTTAAACTTCACTTCCAATTCTAAACTCTTCAAGCAGATTTGAACTTGGAATGCCACTTATAGCCAAGTACAGCTGATGGATGTCTCCAATAATTTGTCTCAAAAAGAAACACAGTAATTTCGGCTTCAAGTTGTCCTAATTAGTCTTCCCATTAACGCTCACTGAAACATATGAGAAAATTCACACTTTTTCTTAGAGCATATTGCTTAAGTCTGCCTTGCCTGCAGGCTCAGCTGGAAAGAGAACCAGTCTGCCTTTGGAAACATCTCACAACACAAAAAGCAGGAAATTCGTAGATTTCATTGAAAATAGGAGAGAATACAGAAAGCATCATGAAACTTAAGAGACATTATTTCATCTGTAGACACAGGAATAAGCTCCATCTGGCCAAATCCTGTCAGAGACAACTTTATCCAAGCAGCAGGTTTTCCCCTTCCATACAGGCGGGGGTATGCAAACGCCAGTTCAGAACTGAAAGCGCTCTCTCCTTGGGATTACTTGGGGTTTACTTCATTGATCTGGTATTTATTTCAAGATTACAAACACTCTCAAACATGGCTTGTGTGTCTCCAGAGCCTTTCAAAGCTTAAAACTGCTCTCTTTAATGAAAGCCAAAAGAGACATGGGGATAAAAAAGTAGCTAGATGCTACTGGTTTTCCTTTCAGCATAAATATGATTATATGACAATTTTTCTTTTCAATCATCCTAATAACTTTTTCTGGTGCCCACCACAAAACTCCCTGGAGTACTTTTCTAGTAAGCATGACATTTTAATACCTGATCCAGTACTTCCAAAGTCACATAAACAAGAGAATTGAAAGCACGCTATTTTAAAAACACATTGCAAGACTTCTACGATACAATAACAGCAGATGGAATAAAAAATGAAGAACATTTCCTATGGCTTTCTTACCATCTTGTGTTACACTTCTGAAATATTTAATTACTGCTTATCTGGCATAGAAAATTATGAAACAGAACCAATTTTGGTCTAAATAAAAAAGTAATCACAAAGAGAAAGCACAGCAGGCACTTTCTTCTGAAAAAGGGGTAGAAGAAAGAAACTCTTCAATATAAAGTTAATGAACACCTCCTACTCATTTGCATTTTCCTGTGCTATGCTTTTTAAATTACTGGAAGAAAAACCTCTGAAGTAATTTCTCAGGCCAGACACACCACTCTCATGCAGCTACTTAAAATCCTTATCTGTTGCCCAAAAGTCAGTCAAAACACACAAGTCAGAAAAGGTTCACTGTAACCCTCAACAACTTCTTATGCTCCAAAATTATACAGCACTATGCAAACTTCCATATAAGATACACTTCTGACAAATTCTTCACTATTCCAGGTAAGATATTATTAAACAATAGCAGAGTAATCAGCTAATACAGTTACCCAATTAATCAAAATCAAAATGTATCTGATACATGTGTTTATAGGATGCATGTGCATCTAATGCCATTGAAAAGCAGTGAACCTTCCTTGTGTGAAGGACTTTGAAATCTGATATTTTATCCAGGGTATAATTAGAATGCCCTGATCATGGAGAAAAACATCAGTATTAAAAGCAGCTGACCTTCTCTTCCTGTCCTTCCCACCCACCTCGCCAAAACACTGACACAGTTTACCCCAGTCCAGGAAAATAAATGGAACTATTCTTACTAACTGAGCAGAAGATAAACAGGGGAAGTCAAGCCTCCATTATACAAATTGAACGTCTTGAATCTGGCTGTGGTTCAGTGAACAAAAGCTCTGACATCCATTATAGGGCCTCAGTTCCTCTGAACTGCTCTGTAGCTCTTAACTGCATGGACCCCAGCAACAGGCCACAAACAATGCCAGCATCCAGTATAGGACTGTAGGAGCCATGGGACTTCCATCTACCATGCAAGCATGTGGGTGCTTCCCATAAATCTCCAAAACAGCTGTTTTCAACAACAGAAGTGTCTAACTCCCCTGGGACTTGGCTGAAAGACAAAGACATTGGGATGACGTGCCACTACAATAGTATTGATGCTTATTGATGTGTGCTCCTCCTTGCCTACCTACTCACAAACTGGACAGGCCTCAATGCAACAGAGATAATCTGATGAGCCAAATGAGACATTTCAAAGTGGCCAGGAAGGAGGTCCGTTCTTGTAAAAAGTCCTAAGCAGACTGACTCATCAGCCTCTGGAAGCAAAAGCATGCCTTTCCAGGGTGCAGCAGCACTCACAGGAACAGTTTGGCTTGGCTGGTTTGTTGGGTGTATTGTTTTGGGGTTATTTTGTACTGTCTAGAATTCTTCATCATTCTTTTTACAGGCCTTTTTCATATTACTTCATGTTTACTATGTCAAAATATGAGTTGAATGAAGGAAGGAATCTCTGCAAATAACTCTCTTCCAAAGAATAAATCAGAAGATGCACCACAGAAAGCTGTAGCAGAAAAGGAAGCACTGCAGACAAAGCAGGGAACTGTTCAGATATTTAACAAGTTTTGTATGAGAAAGAATTCCTAAACATTATTTGTTTATAGAGTTCTGTGTTTGAACAGCAAGGAACTAATATAAAAGAATAACTAACAAAAAACTTACTAGAGGAAAAATGTAACACTAACTAAAGTTAATGTTAAGTAATATTAAATGCTAAAATACTTACTGCCAGTAAAACATCTATGCCTTCAAAGCAGAAACAGTCATGTGGTGTTTAGAAGCAAGTCCAATTAATGTCAATTGGAAAAAAGAAGGAAGTTCACTGCCTTCCACCATCACCATCACTGTAGTGCCAGTATCAATCAGAATTCTTTTACATAAGATGTGGGTTGCAAACTCCAAGTCAGTTCTACTTTGTTTCACATTAATTGTAAAGGATTTTCTGTAATCTACTGTGTTGCATACCAAAGGAATGCAAGTTGTACCTAAAAAGTTGCTTGTTTTAAAAGGTGAAGGAATTTAAAAGCTATGTAATTCACAAATAATTTGAACAGTACAATGCTGAGTAATATGAATGTGAACTTAGAAGGCTGAAGTTGAGCTGGGATTTCAAAAACTGAAGCAATTTTGTTGCTTTTAGGACTTGGTTTCAGATGAAATACTGGTAAAGCTACTATTCCCCAGCAATGTTATTACAGAGATATGGAAGAAGGAATAAATGGTAGGACAGCCTCACAGGCCTCCTACAATGTACAGATATCCAAAAATACTACAAGGCAAGCTTAAAGGATCTTTAGTAAGTAGAGCAGAAAGCCATGCTGGAAAGAGTAAAAGCTGCACTCATAAGTACCAGGATGGCATCCACACTTATGGAAAGAACTGCAGGGGTAACACAGAGTTCCAGCAAATGGCAAACAACTTCTTAGACATCCTTACAAACAAAGGGAATGCTGTGTACATATGAACATACTTGAACAGAAACTTATCATATCCCACCTAATTTATTAAGACCTGGTCATTTGGTGTCCATCTTCCTTATCCTCCTCCTCTACAGTTAATGAA